GGCAGAATTCTCTGCACTGACCTGCGCCCCTGCTCGACGAGGTCTCCGGCGATTTCGACGGAGGTTGTGGCTTTGCGGACGATCGCGTCTGCGACGAAGTTGACCCCGGACATGTTGCACGCACGGCTTGCGCACGTCGGCATCGACACGATCAAGAGCTCGGCGAAGCATGAGGTCACCGCCGGTCTGGACATCAAGAAGTTGACTGCAGATGATCTGCCGTGTGCCTCCTGCATCGGCGGCAAACTTACACGGCACACCTTCCCCGACCAAGGATCGGACGCCGAGAATGCGCTTGATGTGGTGCACGTCGATCTCTGCGGGCCATTTCGAGTGGCCGCCAATGACGGTAGTCTCTACTTTCTTCTGCTGAAGGACGGGAAAACTCGCTATGTGTGGGTGCGGCCGGTTGCGAAGAAGAGCGACGTGTTGGTCGTCTTCGACAAGTGGCTGAATGAGGTGGAGTGGCAGACGTCAAAGACAGTGAAGAAGTTGCGTTCCGACCGCGGAGGAGAGTTCCTCGGTCGCGCCTTCACCGACCTCGTCGAGGACAAGGGAATCCTCCACAATCTGACGTGCCCCTACACTCCGCAGCAGAACGGTATGGCCGAGCGGGAGATGCGCACGGTGGTCGAGGCCGTTCGTACGATGCTTCTGCACATGGGCGTGGAGCATCACTGGTGGCACCTTGCTCTACGCCAGGCCATCTGGGTGCGCAACTGCCTCGAACGTGCTTCTCTGCCAAAGGGGACGACGCCGCACGAGCTGCTGTTCGGGACAAAGCCAGATTTGACACTGGCGCGAGTGTGGGGCTGCATGGTGCAGTTCATGGTCCCCGAGCAGCAGCGCGGCGAGAAGCTGGCGCCGAAGGCTCGTTGGGGTCTTCACCTCGGCGTGTCACTCGAGAGCAAGGGCTGGGAGGTGCTTGACTTGACGGACAACAAATTGGTCACGACGGCCGAAGCAATCTTCTACGAGAACCTGTCGATGGAAAAGTGGAAGGTGGAGTACGGGCCAGCGTCGACGAGGACGTCGTCTGCCCCGTCGCCGGATTCCTCCTTGGCAATGCCTCCTCTGCTCGCCGTCGTCGACGAGCTTGATGATGAGGACGTAGTGGAGGTCCCGCTCCCTCCTCCTGTTGTGCCCTCGTCGGCCGCCGGCGATGAGGGGAGACTTGGTGCGTCGCTTGCGGCGCCGACCGGTTGCATCGCCGGTGGCCGACGTGACGCCGAGAAGGTCAGCGACGGGAAGCTGCAGACGACAGGGGAGCTGTCGGCGTCGAAGCCGACTGCAGAGAAGCTGCTGGCAGAGGCGCCGAAGCAGACTGCAGGGGAGCCATCAGCAGAGATGCCAACTTCAGGGGAGCCGATGGCAGAGAAGGCGATCCTGGGAGAGCAGCCGGTAGAGGAGCTGCCGACAGGGGAGCAGTTCGACGATGATTCGTCGAGCGACGACGTTGTGGAAGTCGCTGTTGCGGCCGGTGGCGGAGAAGGGGAGCAGCCCGAAGACGACGACGTGGTAGAGGTCGCAGTCGAAAAGGAGAAACCGCGCCGGTCTGCCCGCTCCAACATCGGCAAGCCGCCGGAGAAGCTGAGCTTCCACGCTTGTCTGCCGCCGACGGCCTACAGCACTCTGCTCGATGACGCAGAGGACGACGTTGATCTGCCCGAGCTCGACCCTGACATGCACGCCGATCCAGAGCATCGCTGGGACATTGCCAACATGACGGTGAAGGAAGCGTTGGCGAGCTGGAAAGGCAAGGCGGTGAAAGCGGCCATGGACGAGGAGATCAAGAGTCTCATCTCCAATGGAACGTGGGAGCTGGTCGAGCGTCCGCGCGGTGTCAACGTGATGAAGAATCGTTGGGTGCTCACGACAAAGTACCACGTCGACGACACGGTCGCCCGCGAGAAGGCGCGTCTGGTAGTGAAAGGTTTCACACAGGTATACAACGCAGATTACAACGAGACGTACGCGCCGGTGGGGAGCTACGTAACTCTGCGGATTTTCCTGAGCATCGTAGCAGTCCTCGACCTGCACCTGATGCAGCTGGACATGAAAAACGCGTATCTGCAGAGTAAGCTGGATCGCGTCCTCTACATGTACCATCCCGACCACTACAACGACGGGACCGGCCGCGTCTGCAAGCTGCTGAAGAGCTTGTACGGCCTGAAGCAGAGTCCGCTGCTGTGGTACTCTGCGCTCGACGCGGTACTGATCGACGCCGGTTGGAGCAAGAGCCAGGTAGACGAAGCGCTCTACTTCAAGGTCGACGACGACGGAGTGGCGTGCTGGGTGCTCGTCTACGTTGACGACCTGCTCGCCGCAAGCAGGAGCACTGCGATGCTGAAGGAGCTGAAGGAGCTGCTGGAGGCCGCCTTCGAGCTGCGCGAAATCAGCCCGGTCGAGAAGTATCTCGGGCTGGAAATCGTGCGCGATCGACCGGCGCGGAAGCTGTGGCTTCACCAGCAAGTCTACGTCGACAAGCTGCGCAGACGCTTCATCGACGAGGAGCAGACGGGGCGAATTCCGAAGACGCCGGTCTCCGTCGACGCCTATGCAGAGCTGGTGTTCAACGATGAGGAGTTTCAGTCGCGAGAGGAAGCAGAGTATCGGCAAAAGGTCGGCTCGCTGCAGTTCGCGGCCACCACGACGAGGCCCGACATTGCCTTCGCTTGCAGCAAGCTCGGATCCGGCTTGACAGTGCGGAGCGACAACCACTGGCGTGAGGTCGATCGCTGTCTGCACTACCTCGCTGAAACCCGTGACGCCGCTCTGGAGTTCAGCGGCGGACCAGAATCGCTGTGTCTGGTCGGCTATGCAGATGCCGACGACGCTGGCGACAAGCAGAATCGGACGAGCACGGGCGGCTACGTTTTAGTCTTCGGATGAGCCGCAGTCTCCTGGGCGAGTCAGCGCATCAAGTGCGCGACACTCTCGTCGACCGAATCAGAGTACATCGCGGCGACCGAAGCCGGTAAGGAGGCTCGCCGTCTGCGCTTCCTCCTTGCAGAGTTCCGTCTGCTCGACCCAAGGAAGCCGACTGTTCTGCACGTGGACAATCAGTCTGCAATCACTGTCGCAAAAGGCTTGGGGCTCAAGCGCAACCTCAAGCACATGGAGCGACGCTACGCATGGCTGCAGCAAATGGTGAAGCGCGGGAAGATTGCTCTGCAGTACATCCCGATCTCCGAGCAGCCGGCGGATTTTCTGACAAAGGCGCTGCATTTTCCGGCTTTCAACCGGTGCTCCGTCGCAATTGGCCAAGTGCGTCTGGCCGACGTGGTCGACGGGGATGACGAGGTGCAGCAGTAGGTGCCGTGCCCTTCTGCACGGCTGGTGCGGTGATCTACGTGCTATGCGTTGGGTGCACGTAGAAGGAAAGTTTCTCCTTGTATTCTATCCCTCTGGGTTCTGGGTGGACCTTGTGTGTGGGTGCCCAAGCGTGAGCTGGGCAGGGGAGTGTCGAAGAGAAAGGCCCCGCCCTCGCTTGGGCGCAGCCGATCTCGCCGTCGACGGGAAGTTCTCGACGGATTGGTAGAAGAAGTAGGCTTCTGCAGTTTGACGGAAGTTGCGGTCGAGCAGGCTCTGCTCGACGGAATCTGGTCGACGAGCTCTGCGCGACGAACTCTGGTCGACGATCTCTGCGCGACGAAGTTCCGTCGAGGAACTCTGGTCGAGGAGTCCGAGTTGAGGAACTCTGGTCGAGGAGTTCGGGTCGAAGAATTCTGGTCGAAGAGTTCAGGTCGAGGACCTCTGCTCGGCGAACTCTGTTCGACCGAGCGATGGCGAGTCCTTCGACCGAAGTTGCAGAGTTCTGCGAAACTCTGCGGAGGCGTGCGAACTTTCGCCCAGGAGATTTTGGCGAAGTTCTACCTGCGGAACGGCATCACGTGGTCGACGGTGCGCACCTGGCGAAACCGACGACACGTTTTCTACCTGGCACCTGCGCAATGTGCCTGACGGTGAAACCGCCAAACTGCACCTACTTGGTAGGTGCGCACATCTGCGCAGATAGACAACCTGGGACAGCAGATAGTCACCTGCGACTGCAGCGCTGGCAGAACGTGCACGGTGCAACGTTAGCAGATCACTCTGCTGCAACGTTGGCAAGCCGCTCTTCTGCTGCGCTGGCAAAGTTCGCCCTTGCCAGGAGTTGAATGCCCTTCTAGTCCTTTTGTTCTGTATGTCTCAATTGTACTTCCAACTTTTGATTGCAAGTTGTTCTTTTGAACTTCCTTAGTGGAAACTCTTGCAACTTTCTCTGTGAACACAAGCAAGTAGTAACAACGTTAGAACAACGCTACGATCACCCGCACAACTTCGTGCCCTCCACCATAGTCCACTCCCGTTGTGTAGTGACTCTCCGCAGGCGCGACGGTAGGAACGGGACGCGTCGCGCAGGACGGGACGTGCGGGACGAGCGGAACACGCGACTGGCGGCGCAGCAGGCGCTAGGGCACGTAAGAGACGAGCACGAGAGGCTCTAAGGGACAGTACGGTCATAACTAGCACTAAGGTACGGGGTAGGTTCGGGCGTGACTAACGTGATCGAGAGGAACGGGATCCCACGGGATCCTAACCTAGCTGATACCATGTCAAGAATGAAAATGTTGCATTCACAATGTTGGTTGGGGTACATAAACCTAACCCTTAGAGTTGTACCCCCTATGACACGCATCGCTAAGACTACAACATTTGACAGTAGGTGCTTAGCTCCAAGGTTTCTGGTCACAGTAGCCAGGGTTTTGGATGATGGATGCCAGAGTCACATTACATTACCGGTACTCATGCAAGTGCCAACCACCCCTGCCCTATCACACTCTGGATCATGGTGGCACCAGTACCAAAATAGTGTTACGTGTTTGCAACCACGTTTCTTCACTACAATCATCATCGGGTTGCCATAGCGCCATCAAGAATCTACCGTATTATAGTCATGATAATGATCGCAGATGCATCAGGGAAATGCCAAAGCTGCATGCACACAAGACAAATCTTCAGGCATTCAATGAATCAGGTGTGTCCTGCACCCCACCACCAGCACCACCGCTGTCACTACTGCTGCTCCTCCGCACATTCTCATGCCCACGCCCCTGCTCATCATACTGCATGGGCACTGGCACACCCAACTCAGAGCACACAAGCCTGACAATGGCGCTCGTGGCCTCGTGCCGAGCACTCAGGTGGTTCACCGTGACAGCCAGGGCAAAGTTGTGCTGCGGGTCACAGAAGGCTGTGGACCCACCCAACCCCGCATGCCCAAACGCTGACCGCTCCGGGCAGGCAGGGGAGGAACCTGGTGATGTGTGTGCGGGGGTGGATGAGGAAGTGTGGTGGGTGGGGACCATGTGAGACTTGTCATGGGGAAAGAAGGCGGAAGAGGTTGACGTTGGCTGGGAGGACCCTGGTGTGTGCTCTTGGCTTGTCTGCTCACCACGCGTGCCGTCATCCACCCCTCCTGCACCAGCCTGCCCTGCTGTCTGCTCTGCCGCTGGACTCTCATGGGTCTCGGTGGGGGCGGCAGCAGCGCGCGGCCTGTAGCGCACGAAGCCAAGGCCAAAGGAGGAGGAGGGGAGGGTGAGGTGCGAGTAGCGCCCCACGCCGAGGCACGCGTCGACAATGTCAGGCGACGAGAAGAGGCGCTGCCCTGGCAGGCCCGAGCTGGGGATGTCTTTCTCAGCGGCGCCTGAGTCCAGGGGCAGCAGCGCCGCCATGGGCTTGGCGTCATGAGGCGGAGGAAGGAAGGGATGGCATGTGTCCGCTTGCACATGCACACCTGCATGCGTGTCGTCGTCGTCGTCGCTCTTCTTGCTCCTCTCGCTACGCCTCCCCAGCCCCGCAGCAACAGCACCAACAGCCTGCCTTGCACGGGCCAGAGCCTGCCAAGCCCACCCTGCTGTTCCTGCCACCCACTGCTTCTTCCCGCCCTGCCCCCTCCTAGTGAAACTCAGTGTCGTCACCTCTCCACTCCCATCGCCACTCCCTCCCTTGCTCCCTGGCAGCACAGAAGCAGGCTCTGCAGCATGCGAGCCGAGAGGGGGCGTGCTGGAGGACGGGAGGGGGGGGATGACACCATGAGCAGCAAGGGTGGCGTAGTAGCGGGCAAGAGCACGCGCGGAGAAGTGTCCGTTGGCGGATGGGATGACGGCACGGCGCAGGAAGAGCGAGTTGAACAGCAGAGGCAGCGCTGCTGCCCTCGTCGCTAGCTCCTCCGCGGACGGAGGCGATGGTGCTGCACCACTGCTGCTGCTGCTACCGCCAGCATGAGAATCAGCTGTTGCCACAGCAGCAGCATCCCTCTCCACCGCACCCCCACCACCTGCTTCCTTCTTGCCGCTCCCCCCTCTTGCCCTCTCGCCCGCTCGCCCCTCCACAAGCTCCCACTCCTCCTCGGCTTCATCCCGGCCCCCATCAGCACCGCCATCCACCAGGTGCTCTCTGGGAGAGCCAGCAGAAGCCCCCCCTGCCTCCACGTCTTCTCTGTGCGCTGCCTCCCGCCGGGCAGCCTCTGCGAGGCGGCGGCTGATGGCTGTGGCCTGTGCGGTGTTGGGTGCGTCTGTGCGCTCCAGGGATAGTGTTGCCAGCCGTGCCTCCACTCCTGCAGCGCCGCATGCACATGCACGCACACACACACACCCACACACCCACCCACGCATCCAGACACACAAACACACACATTTACACACAAAGACACCTCCCCCCCCCCCCCACCCCCCCCCACCCCCCCCACACACACCCACACACACCCACACACACCCACGCACACCCACCAACCCTCCTCCCCCCCCCCCACACACATGGGCCAGCACCATCGCACAGTGCAAGAGAGCAGTGAGGGGCTGGCACGTAAGAAATGGCGAGTGCATGAGCAGCAGCACCTGGCATGCTGTGGCGCAGGTGAGCTGGACTCACGAGGTAAAGACAGTGCTGTACTTGCTCTCACACGCGGAGGATGGAGAGAGGGCGAGGGGGCGCTTGTGGGGAGAAAACCGTGATATCAGCAACAGTGTGCAGGTGGTGAGGCGGTGCGAGTGGGTGGGTGAGAGGGGCGGTGCATGCCTGCAGGGATGCCAACGTAGAACTCCCCGCGCACGCCCAGGGGCCGCGCCAGGACTGCATCGAGCACCGCCTGGAACGACTGCCCTGCTGCTGCCTGCCCTCGCAGGCACGTGGCCATGGCAGGGAAACAGCGGTTAGGCGAAAGGGAGGGGGATGAGGGCCAAGGATTGGAGGATGGAAACAGGGGACGCGAGAAGTGGCAGAGGGGGGCCAGGGCGTGGCATGGCTAGGAAACGCCAGTCCACCGTGCAAGTGAGCTAGTAGGCGAAGCAGCAAGGTAGAACAAAAACGAGCACTTTCGTGGTTCAAAATTCAAATCCTGATGTGCGAGTGAGTGAGTGAGTGAGTGAGTGGGCGAGGGGCGGCACCTCAATGATGCCGCCTGCGAGCCAGCCGAAGGAGAGGTAGTGATACTCCTCCACTGTGCCCGGGGGCGACTCTGGTGCCTCCGCTGCCAGGTGCGATAGCATCTCCTGCCAGCTGAAATGGGGAGGGTGTGCGGGGAGAGAGATGGGGATGCTCTCTTGAAATGGGACCTCATCCACAGAGTTAGCAAAAGGAGCATGCATGAGGACATGGCGGGCGTAGCTGGTAGCTGCACAGGAGCATGCAGTGGGCAGTGGGCACGTACCGGCACATGAGCATGGGGTCGAGCATGAGCTTGGTGGACATGGCGTTGGGCAGCCCTGCACGGTGTGTCAACACATCCGCTATCTGCATTGCCGGGCATGGGGGCATGGGGCATGTGGGCATGGTGCATGGGGACATTGGGGCATGGCGCACATGGAGAAGATACGGGCATAGAGCGCATGAGCACATCGACACAATGTCCGTCCGACAGTCTTTGGCTCATATCGAAGCGCATGCCATCTATTCCATCCAGCTGTCAGCCCAGCCCACTGCCTGGTCCTTCCCCGCTCCCACAAGCTCACAGTGACTTGCTGCTTGCCCTTGCCCTCAAAGCCCGGCCATATGTCCGCCACTCGCCCCTCCAACTGTACGCGCCTGCATCCCACAGACGCGCCATGCAGGAGGGACAAGCAGGAGAGGAGAGCTTTGAGCACACGGAACTGGGGGAGTGGTGCCCAGGTGGTTCATTGGGGAGAGGAGCGCTGTCGAGTGCAGACAAAGGAGGGTGGAGGGTGGGGGAGATTGATGGGGATGCAAGGGAAGGCACGAATGCATAGTGGTGCAGGGTGGCGGCGGCGGGTGCATCTGACCGGTTGTCAGCGAGCCAGTGCATGATGCCCGAGGTGACGCCCTTGGTGGCGGAGAAGACAGAGAAGAGCGAGTCGTGCTGCACGGCACGTGGGTCATAGCGCCCCAGGAACCCCGCTGCCACGTCTACCACCACCTCGCCACCCATGTACGCACACACCTGGGTGCGGAGGGCATGGGATCGCGCGTGGAGGGAAAAGGGGCAAGGGAATGTGAGTCCATTTAGGCACACACCCGCACACACAGGCCAGGGGGGCGGGGAGAGAAGCGGGGGGATGGGATAGGAAGGGGGGTTGGCGGGAGGAAGGGGTGGTGCTGGAGGAGAAGGCCTTTATATGCGTTGTAAAGTGTGTGGAGAAAGAGGAAGCTATATGGGGCATACAGAGCAATGGCACTGAGAATTTCACACGTGCCATGGTGGGCTGCCATGAATACACTGCAAACGAGTGAGCATATGAAATGGAAAATCCCTGCAAAAAAATCCCACTACCCCACCCCACCCCAGGGTTCAGGTATGTCACCCATCCTCACTCCCCTTGACTCCGCACATTCCCATTCTCCCCTCTTGCCCCAAACTCACCTGCACGCCCACGAGGCGGCCCTGCTGCAGCAGCTGGGCGAGCAGCGCACAGAGCTTGCGGTGCAGCGAGGGGGACGCGCACTCCCCGCGCACCCAGTCAGGTGACGGGGACAGCAGGCGCTGCGGCCCTATCAGGTGGTCGCTGGGGGGAAGAGGGTGATGCATGGTGAGAGGGGGAGAGGGTGAGACGGGGAGAGGGAGAGGGGGGAGAGCGGGCAGTCGAGAGAGGGAGACAAGGGGGTTGAGAGGAAGGTTGCCAGAAGTGTGCAACAAGGGGGAAGTGAAGGAAAGGAGGGAGAAAGAAGGCCAGTGGACAGGAACGTGGGGGAGCAAGACCAACAAAATGGCTGTATGAGAAACACAATGGCTAAGGCAAGCTGACGAGGGTAACAAGGGATTATTGACGAGATGCAAGAGCGAGAAATAAGGGGAAATGGAGGGGCAGAGCAGGTGGGTGAGGAGAAAGGGAGGCTAGTTGGGGCATACGCGCAGAGAACGGCTTCAGCAAAGGGGCGCATGATGTCAATGTAGGAGAGGTGCACGTCCAACGTCGCTGATATGCCTGGCCGTGGTGGTGCGGGGAGAGAGGGTGGGACGCCACGAGGTGTGAGCAGGGACATGACGGAGGGCCGCGCGCATAGGACGTGGTGCTGCACGTGGCATTATCGAGCACGGGTGTGCTTCATGCGGAAAGGGAGGGCAGACAGTTGGACATGCTTGTGTGGAGTGAGAGTAAAGGTAATGAGCATACGGTATAGAGGCTGCGCTGCTTCCATTTATGCATGTGCTGTGAGTGAGGAATGCAGTGAGCAACAGAAAGCGGTGCAGGTGATGTTGGGGGAGGAGAGGCATGAGATGACGAGGGGGTTTGGGGGGTGTGGGGGAGCACCTCGGAGCAGGGCGAGCACACGGGAGAAGAACATGAGCTCCCCGGGAAACGCGTCCACCTGGCAACGCCATCACAGAGCATGTGCACATGTGGTGCAGAGATGAGGGAAAGAGGAGGCATAAGTAGGGTGAAACACATGGGGTGTGCATAGATGGGGTGAGTGAGGGGATGGCGTGCGTGCATGAGATTGAGTGCGCTGCATGGGCACACGGAGAGAGCTGCGTAAAGCTCTCCCCTTACTCCCTCCCTCCCCTCCAACCGCTCCACTCCTCCCTCCCCGACTGCCGTCCTCCTCGTCTCACCGGGTTGCGGCGCACGGCAGCGTCGTCCCCCGCGGCCTTGGCCTGCTGCTCCAGCTCCTTGGCGCGCGACTTGAACTGCTCCCTCATGCGCGCCACCTCCGCCTGCCCGTGCCCCATGCACTCACGCACGCACGCACGCACGCACGCACGCACGCACGCACGCACGCACGCACGCACGCACGCACGCACGCACGCACACATGCATGCAAGGGCCAAGAAGAGGTGATACAGTCAGGGCGAGTCGAGGTGGCACAGTGCATGGACAAGGTTGGTGTGAGGAGGGGAAGGGGGAGAAGGAGGTGAAGGAGGACAATGGCGCATGAGGCAGTACCATAGACATGAACCAGCTTGCACACCACAACTGCATTCCTCCGCGTCTTGTACAAGGCACGTGATAGCCCTACACCGTGCCCTTGCACGGTCAAAAGGCTCCATTCAGCATCTTCCTACAGGCCGAACTCCCATTGAACCTCGCAGTCTACGAATCCCCAAGCAGAAAGTCAGATGCAAAACTAGATGGAATGCGCCTTCAAGAAGTGAAGAGCAAAGAGGGGTCAGTCTTGAGAAGGGTGACAGTGTAAACGGCTCACAAGAGAATGCTTTCATGAAAAAAACCAGCCAACATGCAACAAACATAGGTGTTCCAGGGTGTGCACGGTGACTAAGCGGGCGAACGAATACAGTCACCATGCACCCATGCCACCTCATCACCATGCCTGTGCTGTGCTCCTTTCCCCCCCACTTGCCTCAGCCGGCTCCTACACAAATATCAGAAAACCACTCATCTCTCTCCCCTCACCATCACCCAAGCACCACCAACCACAAGTGCCAAGAACAGCAAGCACCCCCACAGCCCCATACCCACCCACCCTGCCCGTCACTGCCCGTTTGCCTACTCCCCCCCCCATGGCATGTGTGTCCCCCCACCCTCCCACTGCACCTTGGCCTCGGGCGCGGGGGCAGCAGTGCGGAAGAAGAAGGCAGTGACAGCCATGGCGTCCTCTGGCAGGTCCACTCGCAGCTTCAGCCCCATCTCACTGAACGCACTCAGCAGCATCGCCACGTCTCCCTGCCGCATGCACGCGCGGTGGGTGGCACAGAGAGAAGAAGGCGTAGGCGAGGGGACAGGGGAAGGTGAGAGAGGAAGTGGGGGGTTGCGGGGCGGGATGCGGGCAGTGCGGAGAGAGAGGCCGCAGATGGGCAGGACAGGAAGCACGCACACGGCGGACGCACCCAACTGCCCCACACTCCCTTCTCACACAGAACTTCCTCACCCTCTCTTCCTCTCTCAAATGATCCTTTCTCCTTTGCACTCCACTCTCCCTCACTCCTTCTCTCCCTCTCTCCCTCTCCCCCCCATCCCCACCTCAGCAGCAGCAAGCAGCATCTTGGCGAGGGCGACGCGTTTGGCGTGGTCAACGGCCTTGGTGAGCCCGAAGTCCAGCAGCACTGGCAGATGGGGCGGCTCATCGCTCACCAGGAAGTTGCCTGCGTGGGTACCAGGGGGGACAGAGGGATGATGGAGAGAGGGAGAAGCGCGCAGCAAAGGGGGATACGTGCAAGGGGAAGTAGCGTGCATTTGGCTTTGGCATGTGGAGACCCTCACAGATGGATAGATGCAATGCAACTCTCACAGTGTTCTGTGCATGGTGAGGCCCAGGGAAGCCGCTTGATTACCACGCATCCTCCCACCCACCCACCCCTGCCCTGGCTTGTTCATAAGTCACCACAAATGCACCACCACATGCACATGCATGTACATCGCCACGCACCCGCCCTTCCCCAACCTCCTCCTCCACTGTATTCCCCTCACACATCGACCTCCTTCCTCCCCTTCCCATCCCCTGCTCTTCCCACCACCCCTTTCCCTCCCTCCGCCCCATCTGGGTGCGGGTCAGCATGAAAGAACAACCACACATAGATCTGCTGTGCAGGCGCGTCAAAAAGCGGTTCAGTTTTGAGGCAATTGAAGAACCCACGTGGAAGCGGGTCGGGTCGTTGAAGAACCCTCCCACGTAGATCTAGTGAGCGCAGACAGGCGTGTGCAATGCAGTTGAGCGTTGTGGCAAGGCAATTCACAATTGTTGAAGCTCACAAGCCAACCCACCTGGGTGCGGGTCGGCATTGAAGAAGCCCCCCACGTAGATCTGGTGCGCGTATGCCCGTGCAATGCGGTTGAGCAGCACCTGGCGGTCCACGTGCAGCGCATCCAGTGCAGGCAGGTCGCTCAGCCGCACGCCCTGCACGAACTCCATCACCAGCACGCGCTCTGTGGCGCGCACAACTGCTGGCACACTCGCCTCCACCACCAGGCCACCGCTGCTCGCTTCTCCTGTGCCTGGGGCTGTTGTGCTGCCGCCCTCCACTTGGTGCTGCTTGAAGTTGCGCGCCACTCGTTCCAGGTTGGCTGAGGGAGAGAAAGGGTGTCAGAGGGTGGGGGGTTGCGAGGAGGGGTGCAGTGGGGAGTATGGATGGGCAGTGGGGAGTATGGATGGGCAGTGGGGAGTATGGATGGGCAGTGGGGAGTATGGATGGGCAGTGGGGAGTATGGATGGGCAGTGGGGAGTATGGATGGGGAGTGTGAACGCGGTGAGATGCATGCAGTGAGTGCACCCACCGGTGGAGCCAGGAGAGGGAAGAGGCGTGGGCACGCGCAGGAGAGGGAAGAGGCGTGGGCACGCGCAGGAAAGGGAAGAGGCGTGGGCACGCGCAGGAGAGGGAAGAGGCGTGGGCACGCGCAGGAGAGGGAAGAGGCGTGGGCACGCGCAGGAGAGGGAAGAGGCGTGGGCACGCGCAGGAGAGGGAAGAGGCGTGGGCACGCGCAGGAGAGGGTGGATGGAGGAGGGGAGAGGAGGTGGGAGCGAGGGAAAGCAAGACTTTGACAAGAGGGGGAGGGAGCGGCAGGCGTGGGAGCAGCAAGTGTGGCAGCGGGCGTGAGAGAGCAGAGCAGACCTGCTTCGAGGCGGAAGTCGAGCTCCTTGAGCACCTCCTTCACCCACTCGCCCACCACGGGCTTGAAGTCGTACTCCGGCTCCGCCCATGCCAACCACTCCACTATCGTCGTCAGGTTCCTGAAGTCCTGGTGGCCGGGGGAGAGCAGGGGCACGTGCGGGATTGGGAGGAGGGGGAGGATGAGGAGGAGGAGGAGGAGGAGGAGGAGGAGGAGGAGGAGGAGGAGGAGGAGGAGGAGGAGGAGGAGGAGGAGGAGGAGGAGGAGGAGGTGTGAGTGAGGAGCACGCGGTGAGAGGGACGGGCTATGAAAAGTTTGCGAAGCAACAACGCAAGGGATGACAGACAGACAGTTAACTTATGCGGAGTTGGCCGGTTTGGCTTTGCCAGAGGCCCACCTACATAATTGCAGCCTGGAACCTTCCCCCCTTCCCATTTCTCTTCTTCTGCCAGCACTGCCACAGTCATCATCTCATGACAGCACGCCCGATGCAACCCCCCCAAGGACGATACATCACAGCTGCCCTATCAACCCCAGCCACGCCTCTGTGTGGCGCCCTGATCTCCCTAGTCCTGTGTGCCCTGGGCGCGGCAGGGGTGCACGGACCTGCAGAATCTTCTCTTTGATGCCCGCGTGCTGCACCTTCACCACCACCTGCTGCCCACTCGCCAGCACTGCCCGGTGCACCTGCGCTATCTGCAAGGCCACTCGCGTGTCAATGGGCGCACACATGTGCATGGTGCACGCACAGCACATGCAGACAGACATGCACAGTCGCATGCATGCACAAACAGGTATCCCACACATGCGCACGTGCACATGCATGGATGACACGACACAGCGGCAGGTGGTGGGTGGGTGGACGGTGAGGGATAAGTCGACAGGCGGGGAACAGCGCGAAAGCGAGAAGCATGGGGGTTGTCAGAGGGGGGATAACAACAGCAGACGCAACGGGCAGGGCGTGAGTGGGTGCGGGGAGGCTGGGAGGACGGAAGCATGGAGACCCAACGGTGCAGGTGTGCAAGTGCATGTGCATGCGGCATGCATGGGCAAGTGGGAGCCGGGGCATGGTGGACACATGGCGCCATGGGTGCGCGCGTGGCAGTGGGGCCAGTCAGGCAGGCAGGCAGGCAGACAGGCAGCAAGGGCGCACTCACGGAGGCAGTGGCGAGTGGCTGGTTGTCGAAGGACGAGAAGGCCTGTGAGGGCGGGCTGCCCAGCTGCTCTTCTATTGTGCCCAGTACCTGGTGGGGGGGGGGGGAGGGGGACGGCTGATGGGCGGGTTGACGTGGACAGTGCACAGAGCGTGGGCAGTGCACAGAGCGTGGGCAGTGGCCACACGCATGTAGCAACCAGATCCACGGCACGCTGCCAGCCAGCCATCGCTAATGCTGCTGCGCCGTTGCTTCTCTGCCGCGTTCCTTTCGAGTGCTTGGCAGGAGTGGTCTGGTGGTGGGTGTTGCCAGTGTGTGGGTGAGGGGGCTGTGTGGTGTGGGGTGAAGATGAGGGTAGTCCACTAGCGCAATGACAATGTTCCACAAGTAGTGACAATGGCCGCAGGAATTGAGGAAAAAGATTGAAGATAGACGATAGTGGGGGTAAGGGGGGGTTGGGTGGGTCAGGGGGAAGGGGAAGGGCGGATGCACAAGCAGTGACAATGAGCGCACCACATGCTCCCTCCAACCGGCTTTCCAACCCCCCCTCCCCTCATCCCTCCCCATGCCTCACCTCCCCTCCCCTCCCCTGCACACCATCTCGCCCCCATGCGTCCCCCACCCCGCGCTCACGCAAGCCCACCACACCACCACGCACCTCAGACATGTCTCTGGGCGGCAGAGTGTCCTGCAGCAGGCGCAGCAAGTCCAGGTAGGGCGGCGGCATGACATCAGCGCGCGTGGAGAGGTACTGCCCCACCTTCACCCACAGCCCCTCCAGCTGCACCATCGCCGCATACACGCTGCGCGCACACCGCTTGTGCGCACGCCGCCATGTGGTGACGGAGCGTGGGGATGAGTCGTCCACGCGCAGGCGCAGCAGCGCGCCGCACACGTACGTGAGATAGTACTGCGTCAGCTGGGGAATGAATGAAGGGGGAAGCGTGGCGAAAGGGTGGGTTTGCCAGACAAAGCGTGAGGATCAGGGTCTATGCTTACAGGCCAGTCACCTTGTTCTGATTGAAGGAAAAACATATATTACTCTGGAGCGACCCTGATTTCGACAGTGTAAGGCTAACTTCCATAAATTCAGCATGCTTGAGACAAAATCCAAAATCCAAAATCCAAGGCAGTGATCAGGCTATGATTGCCTCTACGATTTCGCTCCAAGGCCATCCTCTCCTCTCCTCCCACTTAATAAGTTGGTTAGCGGTAATCTCAGAACAATCGGGCCTCCCTCCCTCCCCTCCCAGGCGCATTCAAACCTGGAACGTAGGCGCGTGGCTCTCTCCACACACAGTAAGAACTTTCCAAGTCGCGCGAGGTCCCTCTTTACCCCCCTTCCCCCACTACCCCCCTCTTCCTCCCTCCAACCACAATCCTCCAAACCATGTGAATCCAACTGCATCAAAGGCTAGCTCGAACCAGGATTTCAAGAACGATGCTTCTGTGATCAGACGTGAATTTTCCACCAAAATCGCTCACATCTCCTCCCTCACCCCGCGAAAAACGGTGGCGCTCAGGTCTATCAAGCCTTTTCTAGCCTGGACCCCGCTTTGTAGTAATTTTGCCGGCTGGCTCGGAGTTACAGAGCCGTTTTTTTAAGGGACCCGATCGTTCGAGCCCGCAATATTCGAAGCATAAGAACCGGAGGGGACGAATGATTGACCACAGTCACGTTTCACCTCCAGGCGAGCCCGCTATGAAACATAAACGCTAGAAATTCGCGAAGTCACGCGCATGGCAGCGGGAGGGCACGGCGGGACACGGCGGGGCACGGGGTAACGGGGCGGAACGGGGCGGGACCGGGCGGGACGAGGCGGGCGCGGGGGCGGGGCGGGACCGCAGCGCGCGCACCTTGTAGTCGAGGAAGACGCGCAGCGCGACGCGGAAGACGCGCAGCTGGCGCTGCAGGAGCTGGTTGGTGTACACCACGCGGCCCGCGCACACACCCGCCGCGCCCACGACCGCCGCCACGGGCCACATCAGGAGCCACATGATGCCGCGCCGCCGCGCGCGCACTCAGAGCGGAACGCAGCTCTGGAATCTCACTAGCCGACGCTTCTTCTCGTGGCCCGCGTGCAGTCGAGCAGCGGAGAAGAGCGCTTGCGCAAAGTCCTACGTATAAAAAGCGGCACGCTAGCGCGTATAGCGGCGAAGCACAGTCAAGACAAGATTGTGAGACACATGGATGCGAGAGATGATGGATACACGTGAATGCAGTGAGCGCAAGAAAGAGCGCTGCCCCACATGCTCGATGCACGCTCGCCGACCCAGGAGCTCGACGGTGCGCGCACTGGTGGAGGGAGGAGCGACAAGGCAAGAGAGGTCGAATGGGGTGATGGGTGGGTTGGGGCTCTCGGGGAGGGCCGAGGCGGGGAGTGGCTGGCTCCTCGGCTCCTCCTGTGCTCGGCCAGTTGCTGACGAGCACCCTTGCCGCCAGTCATTTCCAGGAAGGGTCTCTCCCCTCAAGAACCACTGCGAGACCACTGCGAAGGGTACTCTCACGCAAGTTGACGACATCCGTCAACCTGGGTAACTGCTGCAGCTGAGACACGTGTGCTTTCCAGGGGTATCGAGCGGGTTGGTTTCTGTTCGCCGCATGGGGTACAGAAGGGTTCGTTACATCGTAGGTGTTATGTTTTGAGTAGGAAGAGTGGTGAGAGGAAGTCGTTAATAAAGAAGTGATTACGCGTACACATGAGAAATAGGACATATGTAGTGAGGGATCTTAGTTAGGCATGGACCTCAGAATTAGAGGCTGGGCGTTAATATGGGATGCCAAGTCTGAAAGCATCGCAGCCCAGCTTAGGAGGCAATGTCATAGGACCGAGCCTGGTCTTTTTAAAGTTGAAGTTGTACGCGGTGTAGAGTAAACCCACTAAACACCCCCCCACCCCTCCCCCCAACCCCACCCCCCCTCCCTCCCCCTTCTAAGAACGTCATGCACGAGTCGTCTGTAAACGGCTGGTATAGCTTTGTCCCACTAGAGCCTCCTGAGCCACCACAGCCTCCTACGCCATCTGCACCACCTGCTCAACTTGCTCCTCCGTCGCCTCCCGCTCCTCCGAATCTGTCTGCCTGCATTTACGGGCAATCAGCCTGTCCTCAAGTGTCAGAATACTGAACGAGAATGTGTGTTCACTATGAGAAGAGTTACAAGGTATGGCAAGCCAAAGGGTGCACCACCTAACAGGACAGCAATAGAACTACAATACAGCTAGAACTACATGCAGTTATACAGAAATATATTCTGACACACCCCCTAACTGCATGCAAGAATAGCCATGTACATAGCACCCCCGGAAGGAGTACACCCTGCGCAGCGGAAGACAACAGAGAGGAATGCGAGGAGGATACGAGAGAGAGAGAGAGAGAGAGAGAGAGGGGAGAGGAGAGGAATGAGGAGAGGAGGTGGGGGGAGCCTGTCAAACTATATGCCTATGTTATAATGATATGTAGGCTTTAGTGGGGTAGCTAATGTAGGGTATAGGTTTTGTTACTTGTACCCAACTCTCTCGATAGTCATGCCACATTTTCTTCCCTTTACTTTCAACATGGTACTAAGAGCAAATAGGTCCTTAGAACCATTTTAGGACTGTTTTTCAGGGCCCACCAACCGTTTTCCGCCGGTTACCACGTTACCCCGCCCCCTGCCTACACTGCCCTGAGTCGCGCAGCCCTCGCGCTCGCCTCTGCTGGCCCTCGTGCAGCCTACTAGCAGCCCGCCCGCTGCCTCGTCAGCCCCGCGCGTCGCTCGCCAGCTGCCCCATGTACCTGATGACCTGCACTCGACCTGACCTTGCGTACCCTCTTAACCTTCTGGCTCGCTATGTGGCTCCTGGTAGGCACCGAAAGGTGCACATGGATGCTGCTAAGAGGGTACTGCGCTACTTGTGCAGTACATCGAGCATGTGGCTCGTGCTTGGAGGACGGGGTGACGTTGTCCTCACTGGACACTCTGACGCGTCTTGGGTTGACGACCTGGCTACGCAGCGGTCGTCACAGGGTTACACATTCAGCCTTGGCTCCGGCTCTGTTTCCTGGCGGTCTACACGCCCGTCTTTTGTTCTCAGCTCCAGTTGTGAGGCTGAGATCTACGCCACAGCCATGGCTGCACAGGAGTTACGCTGGCTCACCTACCTGCTGACTGACTTGGGAGAGCGGCCTCGTTCTCCTCTGGTTTTGTACGTAGACAACAAGGCCGTCATTGCCTTGTGTCAGGAGCACAGACTGGAGCACAGAACGAAGCACATCGCTCTACGTTACTTTCTGGCTCGAGAGTTGCAGCAGGGTGGTCAACTTCGTCTTGCTCACGTGGCCACTCGGGCCAACACTGCTGATATATTCACCAAGGCACTTCCGTCTGGTGATCATTAGCGCTTTTGTCCTTTGTTAGGTCTTGTGCCTACGTTTCCTCACTTGCTGTAGGCTTTGTTTGTACTGTGATCTACATAGATATACGTGCATGCTTACTCTTGCTAGGTAGTGATCACTGTACTGATGTTGTTGCATATATACCTCTGCATGTGAACTGGCCTTGTGGCCCTCTGCTTGTGCTCGGTGTGTGTGGTGACGTTGTGATCCACCCCGAGCTTGCTTTGCTTTTCTTGACAGGTCTTGTGACCCCTTGTTCTCCCCCACTTTGCCTGTGGGGGTGTGTCAAACTATATGCCTATGTTATAATGATATGTAGGCTTTAGTGGGGCAGCTAATGTAGGGTATAGGTTTTGTTACTTGTACCCAACTCTCTCGATAGTCATGACACCTTTTCTTCCCTTTACTTTCAACAGAGCCACGCGACGAGCCCCTCTTACGAACCCCCGTTTTACAAAGGGGGGGGGGTGAGAGAGGGATGAGGAGAGGAGGTGGGGGGAGCCACGCGGCGAACCCCTCTTACGAACCCCCGTTTAACAAAGGGGGGAGGGTGAGAGAGGGAGGAGAGGAGGTGGGGAGGAGCCTTGCGCGGCGAGCCCCACATACTAACCCCCTAATTCCACGCCCCCTTTCAGCCACCCCCCTCAACCTCACCCCCCTTGTCAACCGCCCCCTGGAACCTCACACCTTCCCCCCCAACCTTCCTCCAACACCTTCCCCACCCACGGTGGTCCCTGCTCAAGCCTTCACATGGCGGCCAGAACCCGCTGCCCCCTTACCCTCCCCCCCATAGCGGCACGTGCGGCAGTGAGAGAGAGGAGGAGGGGCGGCAGCTGGGTGCTCACACCCGCCACCCCAAACCCACCCCCCCACTGTTGCACGCGCAGCAGGGAGAGAGAGGAGAAGGCGAGCGGCAGCGGCAGTAGCTCCTCCCGCCACTCCCACCACTCCCACCACTCCACCCTCCCCCACACAGCAGCAGGTGCGGGCGTGAAACAAAGGAGGCAGGCTGGTGCTCTTGGTGCCACCTTCCCCTTACACCCCCCCCCCCCCCCCAAAACTGCTGCACACGCAGTAGGGAGAGGGCAGAGAAGGGAGAGGGGGCGAGGTGCGCGATCTGGTCAGGCGGGCACGGGCAGGCAGGGCGCACGAGGCACCGGGCAGAGGTGCACGAGGCGCCAAGCAGAAACTGTCGCTGCAGTAGGAGCAGCAGGGGGGGGAAGTTAGAGGCGGAGGGGGGGGGCTGTTGGCTTGGTGACGAAGTAGAGCAGCGGGGCGCTGGAGGTGCAACCACCCCCCACCACCACTCCTGCGTCCCCCCAACACCCTCCCCCCCCCCAAATTGCTGCACACGAAGCAGGAGAGGGAGGAGGAAGCGGGCGGCGGGGACGACGGGAAGAACTGCGACGGGGCCCACGCGCGACGGGCAGAAAACCGTCGCACGCTAGGGGCGAGCGACGGGCAGAACACCGTCGCGTGTTGAAGGCGCGCGATGGGCAGAAAACGACGCACGCTCGAGGGGTGCGACGAGCAGAAACCGCCACACGCCCGGGGCATGCGACGGGCAGAAACCGCCACACGCTCGGGGCGTGCGACGGGCAGAAACCATCACGCGCCCGGGGCGTGCGACGAGCAGAAACCGCCACATGTCAGAATGTTGTATTTGTCTAGCCTGCAGTGGGGTACTCTATAGCGAGTACAACCCAATTTAGGGTTTCCCATATGTACTCAACTGCTTGCTAGTGCAACCCCTCTTCCTTCATTCTTGTTCCTCATTCCTGCCTAGTATTCTGACATGATATCTGAGCGTGTCCTTCCTTGGCCTGTGGGCCCACCTAACTGCTTCCGCTACTACTCTATCTGTTGCACGCCCTGTGGCGTGCGACGCCTTCTTAGCGCGCGGCGAATTTTTTTTAGGGTTTTCTGTCCGCCGTGCGCTCGGGGCGCGCGACGGTTTTCTGCCCGCCGTGCGCCCCGAGGCGCGCGGCGGTTTCCTGCCGTGGGGGACCCGCGCGCAACCCCCCGCCCTTCCCGTCGCGTCGCCCTGCAGGCCGTGCGCGGGCCTGGAGGCCGCGCGCGGCTCGTTTGCCCGTCGCGCGGCCTTGGGGACCCGCGCGCGGCCCCCGACCGTCTCGTCGCGGCGCCCTGGTGTGTCGCGCGCGGCCCCTGCTCCGTCGCGGCGCCCTGGCGAGGCGCGCGCGGCCACTGCTGCTCCGTCGCGGCGCCCTAGCCAGGCGCGCGCGGCTCCTGCTGGTTCGTCGCGGCGCCCTGGCACGGCGCGCGCGGCCCCTGCTACTCCGTCGCGGCGCCCTGGCAAGGCGCGCGCGGCCCCTGCTGGTAGGTCGCGGCGCCCTGGCTAGGCGTTCGCGGCCCCTGCTGTCCCGTGGCCCCCCCCCCCCCCTCTGTCCCCCGTGCCGCCCATTTCTCCTGTGCCGCCGTTCTTTCCGCGGTGGTGGGGGGTGTGGGGTGGCGGGCATGGGGGTGAGCGGTGTGGGTGCTACCCTTCCCCTTCTCCTCCTCCTTCTTTGTCTCCCACTGCTGCAGCTGCCGCTGAGGGGGGTGGAAGTGTGGGAGCCGAGGGGAGTGGCGCTAAGGGGGTGACGTGGGAGTGAAGCTAGGGG